TGAAGTTTTATATGTAATGAATCATCAATGCTGAAACGAAAAAGTACATATAAAGGATGCTTAGAAATTGAAAGAGAAAAGTTGCAGATTTTCTGAATAAGAGGTAGGAAAGAGATGAACCCTTCTTAATCTCAAGCTTCAGCAAAGTCAACAAACTCAGACCCTCTTTCCATTTTTTTCCCAAGCCCAAGAACCCGGGGCAGCCTTTGCCCAGCAGGGACAGGCTGGTTCCAGCTACTCCTCTATAAGCTTTTGCTTTCTGACAAGCGACCCAGATGGTTGCTAACACCTAGGGGTGAAACGGAGTTGCTGGAACTCACTCCTCGGCTTTTTGTGATGTGTGTCACTTGCCTGATTTTCTTTTTGGTGTGGAAGAAAAGTCACACGGGAAGGCTCCTCCCAGACCGACTCCCCTTCCCATTATTGGGAATATGCTACAACGAAACCCCAAGGATGCCCCTGCATCTCTCTCCAGGAAAAGGGGCTTTGATTCCAAGGCTGGTCATCTCTAGGCTGGGCTCTGTGTCTCAGATCACTGTAGGCCAGCAGTCCTACCTCAGCCTGTCTTAGCTCTGCACATCGTAGAGGCACTTTTCGCTCTTTATTACTGTCGTACAAGACAGATACCTACTTCCTTTTAGGACTGGAGCACTGCAGAGCAGGTAGTGAGGGTGTTGACTTAACTTGGGATATTGGTTGAATTCTAGTGAATGAGAAAATCCCGGGGTCAAAACATATTTTAACTGGAAGGCTTCCAGTTCTTCCAGCATATAACACCAAAAAGCAACCATGGAATGTAAAAATGTAATAAATTGGATCACCTGAGGTCAGGAGTTTGAGACCAGCCTGGCCAACATGGCAAAACCCAGTCTCTGCTAAAAATACAAAAATTAGCCAGGTGTGGTGGCACATACCTGTAGTCCCAGCTACTCGGGAGGCTGAGGCAGGAGAATTGCTTGAACCTGGGAGGTAGAGGTTGCAGTGAGCTGAGATCGCACCACTGCAGTCCAACCAAGGCGACAGAGCGAGACTCTGTCTCAAAAAAAAAAAAAGTAATAAATGTCCTTGGATATTGTTACTATTATTTTACATTAAGTGATCCATGGTGGGGGGGGGGGGCTCTGTGATCCTCTTTCTAGCGAGTGATCTCCACTCCTCTCCCCAACTCTCAGCTCTAATGCAGCCCAGGTTGACTACCCTGGCTGATATTCATAACCTTTGGAAATGCTGTTTGAGAGACAGATATTATGTCCATAAATTCATTGCAAAAACATATTCTCTAGGACAGCAGAAGAAGTACAGGACATTTATCTGATCATAAATCTTAGCACTAATTTCTCTTTTTTAATTTTTGATTTTTTGGATGGGGCACCTGGATATGAACCAGAGCACTAATTTCTTAGGTAAACATTCCATGAGCCATACTTTTTGACAGGGTGTCTTTTAGAATCTGGGAGCATTGCCATGAATAAAAGAGGGGGGAAAAAACCCTGCCCTTGTATAACTTAAACAATTCTATTAAGGAGAGTCAGACAAAACCAAAACAAGTCAACACATGTTGAGTATTTTCTATCAAAATGTTTCGGAACAGAAAGGTTCCAGATTTCAGATTTTTTCAGATTTTGGGTGAAAAAAAAAAAAAAATATATATATATATATATATATATATATACACACACACATATACACTCTGTGTGTGTGTGTGTGTGTGTGTGTGTGACAGTCTCACTGTCACCCAGGCTGAAGTGCAGTAACATGATCTTGGTTCACTGAAACCTCTGCTTCCCGGGTTGAAGAGATTGTCCTGTCTCAGCTTCCCAAGTAGCTGGGATTACAGGTGTGCACCACCACATCCAGCTAATTTTTGTATTTTTAGTAGAGATGGGGTTTCATCATGTTGCCCAGACTTGTCTTGAACTCCTGACCTCAGGTGAGCCACCTGCTTCGGCCTCCCAAAGTGCTGGGTTTACATTTGTGAGCCACTGAGCCCAGCCATGGTTTTGGAATATTTACATATACATACTGAGATATCTTGGTGATGGGCCCCAGGTCTAAACAGAAATTCCTCTGTGTTTCATATGCATCTTATATGGGCCTGAAGGTAAATTTTATTCACTGTTTTTAATAATTTTGTGCATAAAACAAAGTTTTGATTGCATTTTGACTGCAACCCATCACATGAGGTCAAATGTGGAAATTTCCACTTGGGGTGTCATGTTGGCACTCAAAGTTTTGGATTTTGAAGCTTTTTGGATGTCAGATTTTTGGATTAGGGATAGTCAACCTGTAATATGTATATATATATGCATCGTAGTATTATGAATGCTGTAGAGAAAAATAATGCAGAGAAGGAGAACAGAGGTAATTTTTTAAAAAATAGATTTTACTTTTTAGAACAATTTTAGTTTCACAGCCAAACTGAATGGAAAATACAGAGAGTCCTTATATACCTCCTGCCTCTAGACATGTACAGTGTCCCCCATTACTGAGATCTCATAGCAGAGGATCCATTTGTTACAACTGATGAACATTCATTGATGTGTTACCATCCAGAGACGATACTTTACATTAGGTTCACTTATGATGATGTACATTCTGTGGGTTTGGACAAGTGTGTGATGACGGGTACCCACCATTATAGTATCAAACAGAATAGTTTCCTGCCCTGAAAATCCCCTATGTGCTCCCCAATTTTCCCTCCCTCCCCCTAAGCCCTGGCAAACACCGATCTTTTTTGCTGTCTCCACAGTTTGGCCTTTTCCAAAATGTCATATAGTTGGAATTATACCATATATTACCCTGTCAGATTGGTTTCCTTCACCTAATAATATGCATTTGAGTTTCCTCCATGTCTTTTCTTGATTTGATGGCGCACTTCTTTTTAGCGCTGAGTAACATTCCATTATCTGGATATACCATAGTTTAGCTATTCATGTACTTACTAAAGAACATCTTAGTTGCTTCCAAATTTTGGCAATTGTAAATAAAGCTGCTACAAACACCCATGTGCAGGTTTTTGTGCAGGCATCAGTTTTCAACTCTCTTGGGTAAATACCAGGTAGTGTGATTGCAGATCATATGGTGACAGTATGCTTACTTTTGTAAGCATTTTTTTTTTTTTTTGCTTGCTTTTGTAAGCATACTCTGGGCCAGAGTATGGGTGTTTATACCTGTAATCCCAACACTTTGGGAGGCCAAGGTGGGAGGATTGCATGAGGCTGTAGGTTCAAGAAAAGCCTGGACAATATAGTAAAACCCCATCACTACAAAAAAAATTTAAACATTAGCCAGGTGTGGTGGCACATGCCTGTGTTCCCAGCTACTTGGGAGGCTGAGGCAGAAGGATTACTTGTGCCCAGGAGTTAGAAGCTGCAGCGAGCTATGATCAAGCCACTGCACTCCAACCCAGGCAACAAAGCAAGACCCTGTCTCAAAAAAAGAAAAAGCCAGGCACGGTGGCTCACACCTGCAATCCTAACACTTTGGGAGGCCAAGGCAGGCGGATCATCTGAGGTCAGGAGTTTGAGACCAGCCTGACCAACATGGAGAAACCCCGTTTCTCCTAAAAATACAAAATTAGCAGGGCGTGGTGGCGCACGCCTGTAATCCCAGCTACTCCAGAGGCTGAGGCAGGAGAATCGCTTCAACCCGGGAGGTGGAGTTTGTGGTGAGCCGAGATCACACCATTGCACTCCAGCCTGATCAACAAGAGTGAAACTCCATCTCAAAAAAAAAAAAGGCCAGGCACAGTGACTCATGCCTGTAATCCCAGCACTTTGGGAGGCTGAGGCAGGGGCACATCACGAGGTCAGGAGATCGAGACCATCCTGGCCAGCATGGTAAAACCCCATCTTTTCTAAAAATACAAAAAATTGGCTGGATGTGGTGGCACGTGCCTGTAATCCCAGCTACTCGGGAGGCTGAGGCACAAGACTCGCTTGAACCCAGGAGGCAGAGGTTGCCGATTGGAGATCGCAATCACTGCTCTTCAACCTGGTGACAGAGCGGGAATGTCTCAAAAAAACAAACAAAAAAAGAAACTGCCAAATTGTATTCTAAAATGGCAGTTTCATTTTTGTATTCCTACCAGCAATGAACGAAAGTTTCTGTTACCCCACATCCTCATCAGCATTTGGAGTTGCCCATGTTTTGGATTTTGGCCATTCTAATAGATGTGTAGTGGTATCTCATTGCTGCTTTAATTTGCAATTTCCTAATGATATATGATATGGAGCATATTTTCATATGCTCATTTGCCATCTGTCTTGTTCTGTTTTCTGCTGCAATCACAGAATACCACAGACTGGGTAATTTAGAAAGAAATGAAGGGTTTTTTTGGCTCATGGCTCTGGAGGCTGGGAAATCCAAGATTGAGGGGCCACATCTGGTGAGGGCCTCTTGCTGTATCATAACACACAGTCAGTAAGGACACACGAGAGACACAGCAAGAGAGGACTGAACTTCACCCTTTTATCAGGAGCACAGTCCTATGATAACTAACCCATGCCCACAGTAACACACTAATCCCTTCAGAAAGGCAGTGCCCTCATGCCCTTGACCTAATCACCAAGCCTGTCAACACTGTTACCATGACACTGAAATTTCAGCATGAGTTTTGGAGGGGACATTCAAGCTGTAGTACCATCTATATATCTTTTTTTGGTAAAGTGTCTCTTCAGATCTTTTGCGCATTTTTATTTTTATTTTTGAGACAGAGACTCACTCTGTCACCCAGGCTGGAGTGCATGTTTCCATAACATTATATAACCTCCTGTAACTAATTTCAAGTGGCTGTTTTGAATTTAGTTCCATGAATGTAAAATAAGTTTGAAAACCAACCCCTAGTTGTTGCATGCTTTAGTACAACATTTGCCTCCTTGAACAACACTACCATAAATATATGTTCGTTTTTGGTTTTTTTATTTGTTTTTTTAGAGATGAGATCTCACCATGTTGCCAGGCTGGTCTTGAATTCCTGGGCTCAAGCTGTCCTCTCACCCTGGCCTCCCAAAGTACTGGGTTTACAGGAGTGAGCCTCTGCGCCCGGCCAATATATGGATGTCATCCTTGGAAGAGTTTACACCTGCCTGGTGAGCTTTCCCCCAAGCCCTTTTCCTGGCTGCTTCCTCCTCATCTTTAGTTTTAACTTAAATACTACCTCCTCATAAATGCCTTCTCTTACCTCTCTATTTTATTAAGTTCTCCCTTTGTCATTCAACTCTTTATCAATTTACAGAATTATGCTCAATTTGTATTACAAATGTAGTTTGTTTGACTGTTTATTTCCTGTCACTTTCACCCGACTTTAAGTTCCATGAGGAATCCTGGGCTGTGCACAGTGTCTGACACAGCATAGATGCTTAGTAAATATTTGCTGAGTGATTGCATATATAAATGAAGAAAAGAATGAATTTATGTCAGTACCTCAGGTTGAATTCCTAAGATGGAACTTATGGAGCAAAGGCTAAGCCACATGTAAAAGTATTACTTAATCTCTCCCCAAACCTTCAATAGATTTCACAATAGCGTTTACACAGGTATTTGTATCTCCTTCCAGTTGGCCAAAGAGTACGGCTCTATTTACACCCTGTACTTTGAATCCTGGCCCACCATGGTCTTCCATGAATATAAAGCAGTGAAGGAAGCTCTTATTAATCGGGATGTTAAATTCCTTGGCAGAGGACATATTCCAATGATTGATGATGCCCAGAAAAGATATGGTATGTTTTAAATCAAAAGACATGTTAATTTCCTTTGGCACCTGAATATTTAGCAAGAAATTTTGATCAACTAATTCGACAGCGTCTGTTCTACACTAAACAACGGACTAAATGTTACCATACTGCAATGAAATTCTGACACTAACTACCCAGAGTTAGCATAGACTCCATAGATAAGGACACAGTCCCCAACAAGACTGCCCTCACCCCAGATGCCAGCTGCAAGTTCAGGGGTCCTTAGGTCACCCACATTTCTGATCAACTAAAAAAATTTAGGGTTTCCCATGACCCTTTCAGGTATGATAATTTGCTAGAACAACTCACAGGACGCAGGAAGGTGCTATACTTAAAATTGCAGTTTTATTCTATAAAGGATACAAATAAAGAATCCCATAAGGTGAGGTCTGGGAGGCTCTCAAATGCAGAGCATCTGTATCCTCCACCTAGGAAATAGAATATGTTACCCTCCTGGCACACCAGCATGTTCAGCTACCAGGAAGCTTGATCAGAGCATCAGTGCCCAGAGTTTTTACTAGAGTCTCATTACATGGACATGATTGATGGAATCATTGGCCATGTCACTGAACTCGTGAACTCAATCTCCAGCCTCCTCTACTCCATGGAGGTTGAGAGTTCAGGCTGATATCACTTGGCCCAAAGCCTCAACCCTCTAAACATATGGCTGGTCTTTCTGGCATGGTTGGCCCCCATCTTAAAACTATCCTGGAACCCACCTGAATCATTTCATTGGCACATACTCAGGTATGATCCCAGGGATCCACCATGTTCCAAAGACACTTTTTTTTTTTTTTTTTTGAGATGGAGTCTCAGTCACTGCAACCTCCACCTCCCAGGTTCAAGCCATTCTCCTACCTCAGCCTCCCAGGTAGCTGGGATTACAGGCACCTGCTGCCATGCCCAGCTAATTTTTGTATTTTTAGCAGAGACAGGGTTTCACCATGTTGGCCAGACTGGTCTCAAACCCCTGGGCTCAAGTGATCCGCCTGCCTCAGCCTCCCAAAGTGCTGGGATTACAGGTGTGAGCCACTGTACCCCACCTGCCTACCAAAGGCGCTTTTAAAATACACTCAGGAAATTCCAAGGGTTTAGAAGCTCCCACAAACTATATGCGTGTGTGTATATATATGCGTGTGTGTGTATATATATGTGTGTGTATATATATATATATATATATATTTGTTTATTTAATTAGACAGAAACAGACCCCAGGTATCCTGCAAGCTAATGCTGTGAATATAATTGAGATAAAAACAATCTGAGAACCTTTTGAAAAAAGAGTTGTTGCCCCAAGGCCTCAGGGTTGAGGGAGCTGCAGTCATGCTTGGGGTATAGTTTCCCATGGCACACAGGATGTAGTAGCACCGTGGCCACGACAGGAGACACTGACTAGATCTAGAAATGGCTGTGCTTTCAATGGCAGCCTGAGCGCAAGGGAGATGGAGAGGAGGGAGGGCAAACCAGGACGTCATGCACAGGGAGCAACAGTGGTCGGTCACATTTTAGTTCTTCAGCTGGAAAATAGGCTCACAAATAATTCCTTTTGTTCTTATGCTTCAAAATTTAGATGTGTGGCATATATTCCTTTATAGGTATCAAATAACCACAATAAAAAATGTAGAACACTCTGAAAGTCTCCTCCAAACCACTTAAAATTATAAAATTATAAGTCCTAGAAAAGTAGAAATTCTTTCACAGCATATTTACAAATCATTAAATACAATGCTGTGTATTAAGTCCTGTAAGAGAAGCAAGTTTTTATCTCTCTCACATAAGATTAAGGTACAATTGCTTAATTAAAGAAGCAACCAATTCTTACCACTGAGTTTATGAAAAAAGGAAAAGAAATTTAAAAAGTAGAAGCAACCAAGTTCCCCTTCTACAACCTCCCTTTCTGAAAAACAAGTTGATTATATTGGGTATGCATGACCTTTTACGTTAATTTTAAAACTGGAGATGGAGGCCACTGGGCTGGATTGAGCTGAAGCAGGAGAAAATTGTTGGTCTAAAGCTTGCAGTTTTGGTAACTCAAAAAATTGGTTTCCAAACTTCCCATAAAATTCTTGTTACCACTCCTTACTAGCCGGTAATGGGAACAGATAATTCAGTTCTTCCTTTCACTAACCTTTCTATTTTAGAAAATAACAGAGAAGGGCTGGGTGTGGTGACTCACGCCTGTAATCCCAGCACTTTGGGAGGCTGAGGCAGGAGAATCGATGGAACCTGGGAGGCGGAGGTCGCAGTGAGCTGAGATCATGCCACTGCACTCCAGCCTGGTTGACAGAGCGAGACTCGATCTCAAAAAAAATAATAATAAATAACAATAACAGAAAAGAGCCATTCATTGATATTTTAGTTTTCCTTCTCTATTAGTTCCTTAGGGCTGCCATAATCAAGTACCAATAATTTGGTGGCTTAGAACTCACAGTTTGGGAGGCTGGAAATCTGAGATCAAGGTGTTGGCAGGATTGGTTCCTTCTGAGAACTGTCAGGGAGAATCTGTTCTGTGCCTCTGCCGTAGCTCCTGGTGGCTTTCTGGCCATTTTCGGAGTTCCTTGGCTTGTAGGTGCATCACCCTGAACTCTGCTTTCATGTTCATGTGATATTCTCCCTGTGTACATGTCTGCCTCTGTGTCCAAATGTCCCCTTTTAATAAGGACAGTCATATTGGCTTAAGGCCCACCTGTGACCTCATTTCAACCTGACCTCTGTAAAGAGCCTATTTCCAAATAAGTTCGCATTCACAGATACTGGGGGTTAGGGTGCCAACATTTTTTGGGGAAAACAATTCAATAAATAGTACCTTACTAAGTGGAATAACTGCTAAAATACTAAATAGCTTTCTGAGATATTTATTTATTCATTCATTCATTCATTCATTCATTCAAGACACAGAGTCTTGCTATATTGACCAGGCTGGTTTTGCAGTTGTGGGCTCAAGCAGTCCTCTCACCTCGGCCTCCCAAGTAGCTGGGACTAAAGGCATGTGCCACCACACCTGGATAATTTTGGTAATTTTTGTAGAAATGAGGTCTTACTGTATTGCCCAGGCTGCTCTTAAACTCCAGAGCTCAAGCAGTCCTGCTGCCTTGGCCTCCCAAAGTGCTGGGATTACAGGTGTGAACCACCAAGCCCAGCCTGCTTTCTGACATCTTTAAACAGCTATAATATAGTGCTGCATATTCCTGGAATATATGTCTAACTAATCAAGTCATTGAAACTTTCCTGGTAACTGACTTGATATTTTGCCTCATTTCTTTTGTTGTTGTTGTTTTGTTTTGTTTTTTGAGATGGAGTCTGGCTCTGTCACTCAGGATGGAGTGCAGTGGCACAATCTCAGCTCACTACAACCTCTAACTCCCAGGTTCAAGCAATTCTCCTGCCTCAGCCTCCCTAGTAGCTGGGATTACAGGCACCCACCACTACGCCCAGCTAATTTTTGTATTTTTAGTAGAGATGGGGTTTCGCCATGTTGGCCAGGCTGGTCTTGAACTCCTGACCTCAGGTGATCCACCTGCCTCAGCCTCCCAAAGTGCTGGAATTACAGGTGTGAGCCACCACACCTGGACTGTTGTGTTGTTTTTTTTTGAGACGGAGTTTTGCTCTTGTTGCCCAAGCTGGAGTGCAGTGGTGCCATCACAGCTCACTGCAACCTGTGCCTCCCAGGTTCAAGTGAATCTCCCACCTCAGCCTCCCAAATAGCTGGGACTACAGGCACGCACCACCACGCCCAGCTAATTTTTGTATTTTTAGTAGAGATGGGGTTTCACCATGTTGACCAGGATGGTCTTGACCTTCTGACCTTGTAATCCACCTGCCTCGGCCTCTCAAAGTGCTGGGATTACAGGCGTAAGCCACCGCCATCTTTACATTTTTATCTCATTGACAGATGGCAACAGATCAAACTCTTACTTTATTTTATTCATTTTAGCCACATACCAATATTAGATGCTATTGTTCATTCACTGAAATGCAAAGTTTAAAATAACTTAAGTGTTCTTAGAGGCATGGATAAACAGCACTCATGCCTTACCTGAGGGAGCACAGATACTATAGCATTTTTGGAATGGAATCTAGTAATGTCTATTGACAAATTGTAGAGACCTATGGGAGAATCTGGTTTACATAAATAGGAACAACCCACTTTGCAATTATGCAACCCATCTACACACGCACAAAGACAATGGTGTGTGGAGGGCATTGCTTCCTTGAAAAGCACCAGAATTACAGGGATGCAGGTATGGGAGAGAGAAGTAAATATACTTAAAAATATATATATATATATTTACATAAATATATAATATGTTATAATATAGCATAAATTATAATTTATAATCTATAATTTTATATTAATAACTAAATATAAATATGTGATATACAAATATATATTAAATAAATAAATTTTATTTTATTTTTGAGACAAGGTCTCCATGGCTGGAGTGTAGTGGCACCATCAGGGCTCGGGTGACCTCCCACCTGACTCTCGAGCAGCGGTACTACAAGCGCCACTCCCTGCAAATTTTTGTATTTTTAGTAGAGATGGGGTTTCACCATATTGCCCAGGCTGGTCTCAAACCCCAGGACTCAAGTGATCTGCCTGCCTTGGCCTCCCAAGGTGCTGGGATTGCAGGCATGAGCCACTGCGCCAAGCTAACTAAATATATTTTAAATGTATACATATATATTCACAAGTTTCTCAATAAAGAGTGAGGAGACACGGGAGAACCTTCCAGATACCTCTTGTTACGTGATGAACCTCCTTAAACTCGATGATGTAAAGCAACCAGCATTTTTCACGCTCATAAGTTCTTCGGGTCAGGAATCTGAACTGGGTACAATGCAAATAGCTTTTCCCTGATTTATAGGCCTGGGGCCTTGGCAGACATCCAGTTTTTTCCACCCTGAACAGCTGTGTGGATTCAATGGCCGAGGGCTGGAATCCCACTGAGGCTTCTTCACTTATGAGGCTGGCTTCTGGGCAG